TGAAGTAAATTGTTTTCTTCCCTTTAAATAATTTTTGAACCATAAGTTAGAAGTCCCACGAAATCCATAGTGTTCAAGCTTGCTCAGTAGAATGTCAACATCACAGGTATCAAAAGCTTTAGTTAAATCTATAAAAATTCCCAGAGTATATTCGGATACAGGTTTATTTAGTGCGTTGTATATTTTATCTAAGAAATGAATTAAGGGTTGAGTAGTGTTGTGCTTTGCTCTGAAGCCATACTGATGTTCATAAAGTAGTTTAAATTTATTCAAATATTTCATAATTTGATTTGCTGCCACTTTTTCTAAAAGTTTTGAAAACGAAGAAAGCAAACTTATAGGCCTATAATTTGTAAAATTATCCGTTTCCCCAGCCTTGAAGATTGGGACGATTTTTGCAGTTTTAAGAGTGGTAGGAATAAACCCAGTTTTGAAAGATAAATCAAATAAATGACAGATAGGACCCATGATAATTGGTATGATAGACTTTAGCAAATTTGTTGAAATTTTGTCTGGTCCAGAACTGTTTTTACTTTTTAGTTTTTTAAGAGCATCATTTATAATATCAGGGGTCATATTTGCAAAAACAAAGTTTTCATCTGTTCCCTGTGACAAAAAGTCAGAAAATTGTTTTTTAGTGCCCTTAATAGTTTTTGCCAGATCAGGACCTATATTAGCAAAAAAATTGTTAAAACCCTCTGATATTTCTACGGCCCCTGAGAGAACTTTTCCATTGCTCACAAATGCATCAGGAATGTTAATTGTTTTACGTCCCCTTCCTAGTACACTATTGATAGTCAGCCATGTTTGTTTACAATCTTTACTATATTCTTGAAATTTATCATTAAAGTATTTTTTTCGTGCTGCCCTCACAAGGCGAGTATACACTGCATTATATTCTTTAAATCTAGATTTAGTTTCCTGACAGGGTTTCCTCAACTTTTTATTAAACAATTTGGCTTTACGTTTTCTTGATATTATCAGTGCTTCAGACATCCAAGGGTTAAAAGGTCTATTTTTTCTGGAAGGATTTACATTTTTTTCAGGGAATGAACATTCAAAACAGTTATCAATCGACTCAAAAAAATTATTAAATGCACTGTCCTGATCTCTATTCAGAAGAACATTTTCCCAATTTTTATCTTCTAACATTTTTTTGAATTTAAAAATAGACTCAGAGTCAAACTTTCGAGTTTTCTGTTGGGACTTTTTTTCTATGAATTTATCTTTAAAATGTCGAATATAGAAAACAGGAAAATGATCAGAAACATCTGAAACAATAATGCCAGAATCAAAACTATCATCGGCAATGTTAGTGCAAATATGATCTAAAATGGTTACTGAATTGTGACCTATTCTAGTAGGAAGAGTTATAAGAGGCAAAAAACTATTCTCAAGAAGCGTATCTAAATAAGTCTCTATGTCACTATGCAATGTATGTTTCAGAAGGTTAATATTCATATCTCCTACTAAGACTACATCCTGCGCATTTTCAAAAATAGGATCAGACCTAATTTTTGAAAAAATTTCTCTTATTGTTTGATTAAAATATTTCACGTCTGCATACGGAGCAGTGTTAGGCCTGTAAATGTTACCTACAACTGTATATTTATTCTTCCCATTTTTAATCTTTATAAATTGTGATTCAAAAACGCGAGGTAAGAAGATAGAAATTGAATTAATCGGTTCAAAACAAAGTGATTTCTCAACCCAGAGTCCTACTCCTCCCCCTGCATTACTATTTAGCCCCTGTTTATCTCTTACAGTAAAATGAAGTGGATGATAATCAGTTAAATCAAATGAAAGATTTGCAGGTTTATTCCAAATTTCCTGAAGAGCAATTACAGATGGTTTAAATTTTCCCAGGGTTGAGGCTAAAAATGTTTGAAACTCATTAAATTTCCCAGGGAGAGATTGGATATTCAAAGACAAAATACTAAACTGCTCTGTTGAAATACTATTAAATTTTTTGTTAATCTCATCTTCATCATAGTATTGACAATTATGAATATTATTTTCATAAACCGAATCTTTAAAATTGTATGTAAAATCGAATGTTTGATTATTTTGTTGTACATGTGTAAGTGAGATATTATCCTGGATCATTTAGAAGCTTGAGATCTTGAGAAAATGCGGCACCCTTTAGACTCCCCTCCCTTCTTAAAACAAAGCTCCGCCCCCATATCCCCTGACATAAAGGAAAATCTGTCAGATTAGGATCAGGAAACAGAAAGTAACGGAAGTAAATTGTATAAATGAAATTCATAATTGATTTGAAAATATTGATTAGAATAATAAAAAAAAGAGAAAATAAGCTCACAGATAAGAGAAAGTATGAAAATTAGATTACTCATTTAACTTATTTGTGCATACTCTTTTTGGCAATATTATGTACTACTATATACAGATTTTAAACTTTAGAATTTATGAGAGCCTGGATTTCAGCAAGATTGAGAGTTTTTGGGGTTCCGTATTTCTGATCAGGCACAAAACTTATCACTTTCTTTTCACTTGTATCAGACACTTTCAGACCTAGCTGACCATTCTCATTAGAGAATAGTTTGCTGATTTTACCTTCTTTCTTCATGGACCTGAGATGATACATTAGGCTGTTTCTCTTGTTAGTAAGTTGAAAATTGGCATACAGACCAACCTCTTTCTTCCCTCCCTTCTTGATCTCAGTCGTGAGGTGATCCCAGGGTGACCCTTCCTTTCGGTTCCAAAACCGAACCAGGATGGTATTGTTAGGTAGATAGTGACATGCTTGTATGTCATTCTCAGGAACTACGACATTGTATTTAGTTTTGATCAACTGACAAGCATAAGTGGTTGTAGTAACTTTCTCCTGTTTAAGTTGCTCCTGAGGTTTTATCAAGCTAGGTTTATTTTTTCCTGCAACCCCTGAGAGTATGAGGTTTCCCTTCATGGAGCGTTGTTGAATCTCATCAAGAAGGTCACCTTGTGCTCTACTTTGCTTCTCTAGATCATCAATACCAACTTTGTGTTCCCTTAGTATATCCTGCTTGTAACTAGGTAACTCCTGGATCATAACAATCAAAACATATTATGAAAAATCAACTATATACAAATGTGGCAAAAGATAATCGATGACTATAGGTTGTAATATCTGAATGATTTGTTTGAAATTAAATTGATTTTTTACGGTCTATGTCATATGTTGCAATTTTCTCAATTTGTATGGACGCTAAGTTATTTGGTATGAGACGTCTTTAACAATTTTCTCCTTATAGACGCAACAGATAGAAGTAAGAATAGTAGCGATCAAAAGCGCTTTTTTATTGCATTAAGCCTATACCCCCTTTCATTTTTCGTGAACACTCCCTTAAAGATAAAAAGTTGTCCTTGGTCATAAAAATCCCTTTAACTATTGAAAATACAGGGTGTCTCACGAAAGACAAAACCTTTACCAAATAGGTGTTAGATAAACAAATCTTTGGCTTAATTATATTTTATTTTGAAAGCAATTTCAACACGAAAACCTGACAATATTTTTATTGAACTCTAGTTTTAAGCAACTTAAAAAAAGTAAAGAATAAAAGACATTTTAAACTATTCACCAGCAGTCATTTAAGTGCGGGACTTAATAGCCAACAACTGATGAAGCGGTCCGCTTTGAAAAGGTTCCGCCTGGTGGTCGGATAGAAAGAATATGAAGGAATATGAAAGGATAAGGTCTGATAAGAAAGTGACAGAAAAAATAAGAAAATTTAAGGGTAAGAAAGGACATGGTAAGATAAAAAAGGATAAGAAGGAATAAGAAAGATAAGGTTGGATAGTAAAGGAAAAGGTTGGATAAGAAAGAATAAGGTCAGATAAGAAAGGAAAAGTTCGGATAAGAAAATATAAGAAGAGATAAGAAAGAATAAAGTCAAATAAGAAAGGATATGAAGGAATTAGAAAGGATAAGAAAGAATAGGAAGGAATAAGAAAAGATAATGTTGGATAAGAAAGTTAAATAAAAATTAAGAAAATACATAAAAATATTAGGTCAGAATAATAGATATGAAAGAATTAAGTCGCAGAAGAAAGGATATAGTAAGATAAGAAAAGATATGAAGGAACAAGAAGGATAAGGTTGGGTAAGAAAGAATAAGAAAGTATAAAAAGTAAGTACAAGAAAGTACAAAAAACTATAAAAAGAAACTATAAGAAAGAATAAAAAAGCATTAGAAAAAAAAGAAAAATAAGAAAAAATAAGAAAATATATGGTCGAATAAGAATAAGAAAGGAAAAGGTCTGATAAAAAGTATTAGAAGGAATAAGAAAGAATATAATCAGATAGGAAAGTATATCAAGGAATACGAAAGGATAAGGTCTGATAAGAAAGTAAAAGAAAAAATAAGAAATCATAAAATATAAGGATAATAAAGGATAAGAAGAAATAAGAAAGGATAAGGTCGCATAGGAAAGGAAACGGTCAGAAAAGAAAGAATAAGAAGAGATAAGAAAGAATAAAGTCGGATATGAAAGGGTGAGGTCTGATAAGAAAGTAAAAGAAAAAATAAGGAAATACAAAAAAATAAGAATAAGAAAGGACATGCTAAGATAAGAAAGGATAAGAAGGATTAAGAATGGATAAAGTTGGATAAGAAAGGAAAAGGTCGGAAAAGACAGAATAAGGTCAGATAAGAAAGGAAAAGGTTGGGTAGGAAAGTATAAGAAGAGATAAGAAAGAACAAAGTTGCATAAGAAAGGATATGCAGGAATTATAAAGGATAAGAAAATACATAAAAATAAATGAAAGGATTACAAAAAAAGGGTTAATTTCTCTCTTAAACTCAATTTTGTTATTGTTATTTAAAAAGTTATTTTCTCGATTGAAAATGGTACTCTTTGATTGAACATAAAAATAACAAGCAAATATGTACAGCAGAGACGAGGAAAGAATTTGACAGAATACATCAGGTAGAATGCCTGCAAATGATGAGCCAACATTATCTTCAAGTTAAACATTTAAAACAAAATCAATTGTTACTTACCGCACAGAATTGTTCCACTTGAAGAATGTCATCTCTGGTTTTTATCATTTCGGAATTCAGCAACTTGTTCCTAGGGTCGTTCTGTGTTGTCATCTGAAAAGGACATAATTGAACAAAATTAAGAATATTTATTTAAAATCATCTATTCCCTCCTCCCCTCCCCCCTCCTAACTTCACCTTCTTTTCCTTTCTCCCATGCCCTCACCCCTCTCTGGAGAAATTTGTTTCTTTTTAAAGAGTGGGGGGGGGGGAACAAACTGAGTTCGACAATATAAACACCTCTGCTTTAATTAAATCAGTATTACTTTCATCATTCTCCCTCCTCTCCTCTCCTCTTCTTACATCTTCAATCTTATTAGAAAGCTTCTCAAACTTGGTTTCCACTGGACCTGTTAGTTCTAGAAACTGATTTCAATAAACTCCATCCATGAAAATCCAGGTGCTTGATGAGGAGTAGAAGAAGTGGCAGCAAATCCTGCTGCACTCAAACTGTTTGAAGTCGAATCTTGACTCTTAGTAGCTCTGATTGCGGTCTGATCCGGAGTAGGATTTGGAGTCTGATCAGCTTCGAGCATAGTAGGATCTGGAATCTTACCGGCTCCGAATGCAGACTGACGAGTCTGAACCGCTCTGAAGGCAGTAGGTGGAGTCTGAACAGCTCCGAAGGCAGTAGGATCTGGAGTATGGCCATCACTGTACCAATATGGATCTGGAGTTGGAGTATGGCCAGCACTGAACAAATATGGATCTCCTGGAGTCAGTCTGGAACTGTACATCAAATCTCCAGGAGTAGAAAATGCACCGAAAGATCCAGAACCATGGTATTCAGCATAAGGCACCTAACTAAAAAACCCAAATTATTTAACATCCAACACTGCACTGGTTGATTTTCTCAACAAGTAGAAACTAAGGTAAAGTAAAAAGATGTTAAGCAATGTACAGGCTTAGATTTCAAAGTAGAATAAGATGTTAAAATTTAGAAATCTTAAAAATAAAACTTCTCCCCACTCGCATGTTGTAAATAATTTTTCATGTTTTATTTTTGCTGAAAATAATTGATTTTGTTGTATTCCGGACTGAACCAGAAAAGGGTGAACAGTCCCTTAGATACAATGAGAGATCGGAGAGACCAAATTGATTCAGTACAGCCCAAACCTTAGAAGAGTAGACACACATACAAGTCGTCTACAAACTAACGTTCCAGGCCCTGTACGACATACAGCATACAGGACTGTATCCTACAATGATACAGCAAGCTTCCATGAAGATGAGCAGCGAAGATTAGATGATGATGAACCCGGCATACCGAATGACACCTGATAATGGATATGATGAAGATACAGCTAAGGATGCAGCTAAGGATGCAGCTAAGAATGCAGCTTAAGATGCAGCTAAAGATGGAGCCAAAGATGTAGAGGATAAGGATGCAGGGGAAGGTGAGAGTGTCCCCAGCTTGGAGACTGACCTCTCATCACTGAAGGAAGGAGTTCTACCTTGAGAGATCATGTGGATCATGAGGATCAAGACTGTCCTCAGCCCTTTGATGAACAGGCACTTACTCCACCTCATCTCCCTAGTATCTGGGATCCTCCTGGACATCATGGAGCCCAGTTACATGAGTTCCTACATTCAACCAGGGAGAAGATATTAGACTGTTTGTTCGTGCAGGTTCTGAGGATGAAGAGATATCTGGAGGAGCAATGGAGATTGAACTTGATCCCTGAGTATGATGTATTATTAGAGGGTTTATTCCTCCTTAAGATAATGGGATCCAAGCTTGTTAGGATTGCAGAGGTCTGAAGAGATCCTGCTCATGATCCTAAATAGGATCATTATTATTGAGAAGGTCCTTAGGGATCAGGTTAGTGAACCTAACAAATAAAAGGATCATAACTAATTGTTAATCTGACAAGTAACCGTTATAACATATTTGTATATTCATTTATTAGATATGTAGAAATAAATGTATGTGCAATGCCTAATTGTTTATTAAAAAGGGTATAATCAGGGTGCAAAGATAATTGACCATATAAGGGACAAATCCGAAATAGGGAGATGACCTGATGTATGATCTTATCATGATTGCAAGTTTATGAGTTGTGATTTATTGCATCAATTGATTTGTCAGAAAATGCGACAATTTTAAGGTGGAAATGAAAGAATTTTTACATAATGGTGAAAAACGGGTAAAACATCAATTCATGTCAAATTTCTTTTTAAATAAAATCATGCCCAAGTCACTCAAAGTAAATGTAATTTCATTTTAAGTGTTATGTCTGATTCATAACTGTACCCTTAGAATCTTTGCCTGATCAAGTATGATCTATGTATCAAGTTTTTTTTCAATTGTGGCTCATCTACTAACACAAATTGTGCATTTCTTGCTTCAGAAGTAATGGAGAAATTATCAGAATTAAACACTTGAACACATTACCGTTTAGATTAAGGTTAAAAGGTAACCAGTGTAAATCTTCTATTTTAAAATGAATGAGTACTTGAAATTTAACTTGCAGACCCTTAAGTCAGGAATAGAGAATGTGCATCAAAATTTAAATATTTTATAATTCTTACCTTATCTCTCTCCGGACATTTCTCCTTTTCCTTTCTGCTTCTCGTGTCCACCACATTTGTTCCAGGTCTCCAACATTACTTGTCTTTCGAATTCTCCTAGATTGATATAACAATTAAATGAAGACAGATTTGCCAGGAAATTTTTTAACTGTTAAACTTTATTAATATATTAAATAATATAATATATTAACATTTTCTTGAAAATCATTTTTTTGGGGGTTTGTTTTTGCTAAATTGGTTAACATTTTTTCATGAAATAAGTGAAATTTTGGGTTAAGTATTAAAAAGGATAAACAAATTTCCCTTTTGATCTCTAATTTCGTTTCAATAATGAGGCTGTTTTTTGAACAATTAATTTTAAAAATTATTTGGAATCTTGCTAAAAGTTTTACATGAAAAACTAACGTCAACTATAATGAATGAACACCAAGCTTTAAATATCACCTCCTTCATCGAAGTATGGTGCCCAGGGTGCTTGGGGGAAGGTCTGTCAATACTACTCTTCCTCTGTCATACATTAGCTGTTGAATCTCACAGGCTTGGAGACAGGTCAGGCAGGTCGTTTTACCAGCTCTATCATCTTAAACCTGAATACTGAATATAACATGCAAAGACCAGAGGAGAGATTTTAAGATTTATTACTTAGTTTATATTGAGAATGATCTTATTTACTTAGAATCGCATATGAAAATATTGAACAATAATAGTATAATAGGGGGGCCCAGGGGAGAGGGAGAAGTTACATTTAATAAGCTAATAGAAAAAGATCTTAATTTACATTTAGTATCAATCACATTTATTAATTTAACAATTTTGGTGTAAGGAGAGGGGGAAAGAGGACCAGCTACATTCAAAATATGTAAATAATATAATTGTAAAAGATTTTAATTTACATTTCATGTGTTAAAATATTGAACAATATTGGTATCAGAGATGGAATTTAAAGAATTTGAGCCATGGTTTAAATCTGCCAAAACCCGATTTAAATCAAGCTCCAGCTTAAATCTTAAAACATTTGATTCAATTTTAAGTGGAACCAACCAAAATTATGCCACGGCTTAAGTTTAAACCGCTGCTCAAATTCTTTAAATTCGGCCACAGGTATAGGGAAAAAGGATCATCTACATTGTGTGAAGCAAAGGTGTACATGTTACAATGTTTTGATAATCTATCCCTACAATTCTAAACTTGTTTAGTTCAAATTGCATGATAGAGAGGAGTGAGTTGCAATAGCTAATATAGACATCCTTAGCTTGTAAATAAACCTAAAATTGGACAATGTCATATCTCCATTGTCATTAATTTCAATTAAATTTCTTTCAATTACAAAAGTTATAATTTTAACCAATATTGGACTGAAGCAAACTCTGTAAGGGGATAAGTTCGTGATTTGATAAATCTGCAGAACTTTGCATTAAAGGATTCAAAACAAAAAGCTCTAAGTGGACTATGTCTGACGGCATCCTCTGCATAGTGCAAAATCCCATGAAAATTATACTTTAAAATTGAAGCCCCATACATAAATTCACTATGAGTAAGAAAAGAGTGTAGAAGTTTATGAGCGTATTCAGTATATTTAGCAATGTAGGTTTGATTTTCAAGATGAGAAATTCCCTGATGGAGGCACATAAAATTGTTAAAGCGATCTGGTGGTATGTCTTGGAGTACAAACAGTGCAGCATATAAAAGGAAGATTCTAAAATCATCTCCTTTAAAGTTAGGGAACACATTATTACAATTAACCCAGATACTTACAATCATTCTAACAATACCAATATATGCCCCATGCATTACATCTACATTTACGTCGTTTACTAAATCTATATTACTTAAAATAGTCAGAGGGGTAATTGAGGAACCTCCTTGTTTTTTTACAGTCTACAGTTGTCTATTAACCCAGGAGGGTTAATATGCAGTTTCGAGAGCTGATCAGGCAATTTGTAGTATTTCCAGATCAGCTCTTGAGTTTCTATATTTATTCCAGTTGTTCTTTATATCGGCCATCTATGCAGTTTATTGCTGACATTGTTGCATAATGAGAACTTCCCTTTGTCAGCTGCATTACATGTATCAGTGTCTTGCAGTAATTTAGAAAGAAATTAAAAGACCTCTCAGCCTTAACTGCATTCGGCTAGGTTCAAGGTGATTTAGATGTACCCTCTAGGAAAGGAACACCCATGATACCAACGATGATCTCTCTCAGAAAGTTTTAATTAAGAATCCACCGCAAAGCAGGTTCAGAGTTGAACTTTATCTGCTCATGAAGTAGGATTAGGTTGGAATTTAGGAGGTAGGCAGATGAGGATGGGGGTGTAAGGGTAGCAGGTATGAGATATACCATAGTCCTCACTTTTAACATGTATTCCCATGTGGACAGATTTTCTAAAGAAAAAATAACCCGCTAAGCATGCTGTCCTATCGCTTTAAAACATGGGGAGTGTGTCTAATGCCTATCATTGTCAGAGGTCTTCCATGAGTATTCCAGTTTCCATTTTGA